TTAACTCCCGAGTTTAGTGTCACTTTAAATATTAGCTCGCATGACCACGAAGGGTGCTGCCCAGGTTCATCTATGGCTTTCATGATGGCCCAAGAACATATCATGGTCCTCAACGAGCCTACTTCAAGTTAACGTTGATGCAGCACAGAACAAAATACATTTGAATGGAAGGGTTTAACAAACCCAGATGCCCTTTTACAATACCTCCAGCTAGGTTGTCTTTTGAAACAGTTGTCCACCTGGTTAAGGTTTCCAAAGGCAGGCGAGATTGTCCTCATCTTTAATTGGCCATATCAGAGGAACCAACCAATGATAAACCACCAAACAAGTTTATCAGAGGAAAGGAACTTCAATAAAAGTGTCAGCAAACCATTTCTAGTAGGGATGTTCAGATACCAAGCACCATACTCGGTACAAGTACAGATACTTTTCCAGCTCCAAGACTAGACTAGAGAAAAACTCTAGGCCGCTGTCATTTGTAAGGAGCACACGGAGCTCCTAGGATTTGTACATCTCTGTTTTAATGTACGATTTTGTTTTTATAAATATATATTAGGGATGCACCGATACCAGTTTTCCGGGTACCGATACTTGCCCAAGTACTCACAGATACATTTTTGTTTACGGTCATGTGACAGTTTTTTCTAAAACAATACAGACTAATGATTTCAGGACAGTGGTGGAGCACCAGAGCCAGGTCCCAGCTGCAACTTCTGCAACCGCTGCAAGTTCTCATGAAAATGCCAGGTATCGGCACTGGTATGTGAACATCCCTAATTTTTAGGTGTGTCGATACTTAAAGTTTATCTCACACTGGTATCATAACACCTTCAATAAAGGACCCACTTAGACATTTAACTTCTGAATAGCAATGAATAAATTGTCTTTATAATACCAAAAGCCCAGTGATCTAGAGGTTAAAAAAAAAGACTAAAAGCTTAGATGCCTCCATCGGCTACATGTTTTTAATGCCATATTTCCAAAAATATTATTTGGTAAGAAAAAAAAAAAAAAAGAGAAGAAAATAAAGCACTTGCTATAGCAGATGTTGTGAGGCTGATTGACTAGTTGAGAATGTTCACAATAAATTGCATGAAAATTCACTTTAATTATCCAATCATGTAAAAAAAACAAAAAACAATCCCTGCTTACTTATTTCTTCTGCACGTGATTGGATAATTGAAGTGAACTTATTGCGGGAACAATTCTCAACACCTAATTGTCTCTTACTGAAAACGGTACAAATTGTTAAAGCGCTTAATTCAAACCATGGGTCTCTTACTTCTAAAGAAGACAACAAGAAACCCCAATTGTTAAGAGCTTACGGCTTTCTACGTATGTACATGTTACATTTAAATGCTCTGTCGATCTGGACAAAAAAAAATAAAATAATAATAAGTGCGAGTATAGACGGTGCTATTTGTACATGAGGCGGGATCGCGGCATTTCATGACGGCATCTTAAAAGTATATTTGCAAAAATGGGCCAAAGAGTGAACTAGCTCACCGAACAACCTATAAAGCAATGACGTGCACAAGAGCTAACATTTCACAATATGGCCGAGGTTTGTTTTTTGGATATAGTGCTCTCTAAATCTAGGGCAGCCCAACTGTACTTTGTCTTTTCTCATCCCGATTTTTGGTGATAATGGGTTTCAGCTTCCAGCTAATTCAGTTTAAAGAATTTAGACATTTTAAATGATGCTTTTTACTACCTTAAGCTCAAGGGGAACCCTTTTAAAAGTAGCAAAGCCAACCCAAAAACTGAAAAGAAAGCACCAAGCAGTGCATACACACACCTTTCTTTATCTCCCTGATTGCTGTGGGAGGGCCAAGTCTGAGGACATTCAGTATGCAATACACCATGATTATCTCATTTGCCATATGGGAACCTCTTAATGGCTCCAGGTGCCATGTACAGGGTTTTAAAAGTGCATGCTCTTTGGGCAATATTGTTTTAGGGATGCACCGATACCGTTTTTTGGGTACCGAGTACTCAGTTACTAGTACTTCCGGTAGCATGGAGCCGGCTTCCTGGGCAGTTAGGAAGCTGGGCAGCGTGTCATTACCTGCTGCCCGGCTTCTTGATTGGCCAGGAAGCCGGCTCGATGCTGTTTGGCTGGGAAGCCAGCTTCCCAGCCAATCAGGAAGCTGGGCTGCGAGTCATTACCCACGGCCCGGCTAAGTGATTGGTCGGAAAGCCGACTCCTATTTCCCTCGTGGCACTGCTGGTCAGAGGAAATCTCCCTCTGACTGGAAGTTCCGGTGTCATGAAAAGTATTAGAGCATTTGGGCGAGTACGATTAGTTGCCCTAATGCTCGGTATCGGCAATGATACTGATACTAGCATCGGTATCGGTGCATCCCTAGTTTTTCTTAAAGTGGACCTAAATTCTTTATTTACAACTAGTCCCTTCCACTCCTGCCCTTGAAGTAGATCACTTAGGTCTCATGGACATAGGTGCCCACACCTGTAAAGTGTAAATTTGCTGTATTTCCTCCACCAGGGAGCCACAGATGCAGTGTACAGGACTCCCATTTAAGTCAATGGCTGTTGGATGGGTATATGTAGGATAGTAGGTGGGTACAAATCATGAAGGCAGCTATATGTATGCACATGGGTCTACAACTCTGGACACAAACTGTCAGCATCCAGAGTTGTATCTCCATGCGCGAGTGTACAGAAGTACCACCGTATACCCACCTACAGCCATTGACTCATATGAAAGGCTGGGAAAATATGGCCGAATTTACATTGTGCAGGTATGGGCACCTGTGTGCATTAACCCCTAAACTGCAAAGAGCCAATCTAGTTATAAATAAAGACTTGAGTCGTTATTGTGGTGTCTGAGAGCAGAAACTGGAAAGGGTTGAGGGTATAAACAGGGTTTAGGCTCACTTTTGTATTTTTACAGTGCATCAATGACAGTTTGAGTCCCATGCTTGGCTTTTCAATAAGAAAGCCCAGCACTGCTTCCCTGCATAAAGGCAGCCTTTCTAAACTGAATAGAGTGGTGCCTCCTTCTTCTGAGTCATTCAGGTCTGCCTTTAGTATAACCTTGGCATCAGGAACTTGCTGGGAGCTTCAGCTGTTTTTGACAGCTCGGCACCTCCTGGGTGGAAGTGGTGAATATGGAACAATAATCGCCAACATGTTATATTTACCTTTTTTTTTAAGCTAACATGTCTTAGAATTTAAGGTGATAAAGAATCCCTTTTAGTATATGGAGGAAGGATGGCCATGCCAGAGTGCCTAACATGTTTTAAAACTTATGGTGATAAAGAATCCTTTTGGGTATATGGAGGAAGGAAGGCCATGCCAGAGTGCCGACTCTGGTGCTGGTCAGTTGCATACAGACTGCCCAGGAAGATATAAGGTGTGGGTAGTGCCTACTATTCAATGGTTCAACGTCACCAATTTATCTACCACAGGCTCGCTTTAACAATAGGTGCTTTCATGTCTTCTGATAAAAATAACTAAACCGATGTCTACCCAACCAATAAACAGGATATTGGTCACAGGCCGTTTGCATTCACGCAGAATGATTGTGTTATACTTACATTATGTGCAAAACAAAAAAAATCAATTAAGGCAATCGGAGTTTGAGCTTCCCATCCCCAACAAGACTTTAAAGAAGGCAAGCAACGTTTCGGCTTGTGCAAGAATTGAAATATTTAGTCGTAAACCATTATAATTGGACGGGGTTAAAAAAAAAAAAAAGAAGATTTATAACTGCCGACATATTTAGCTTTGCTTTGAGTTTTATGCTTGACGGGCAGAACGGAGAAGACACCGTAGTGGCTGCTTTGGTAACTGCCTGATCTCATGCTGTCCAACAGCTTCTGAACATGCATAACGGCATCACAGAGTTAGAGTCCCGTAGTTCTTGGCATTCCCCTTAATCACAAAGCATCTTTCTTTACACGGTTATGTAACAATCAAGAGTTTGGAGACGGCATGTGCTATATGCATGAGATTCAGCAGCAGCTGACAAAGCAGAAAATGTCAGACGTGAAGGGGGCCCCTCAGCTCTGGCTTGCATGTTTGAGTGTCATGTCCATATTATAATAATCGAGTGATTTGATTACTACTGAATTTTCATATTCAGTATTAATCAGTGGTAACCGTCACTTGTAACCGTCGTTGGTCTTCTCTATCCACCAGAATGCTAGACCTTTCTAATCAGGCAAAGCTTCAGAACTTTGTGACAATGTCAAAACTTGCCCCGTCCCCTCCGACAGAATCTTTTCAGTGATACAGCCCATTATAGTGATGGGCTAATAGTAATATGGGGGGCAGGAGGGAACAGGCAAACCTCTGACAGTATCAGCGCGTTGCCTGATCTGAACAGCCACGCATTCAGGCAGAGCGGGGAACTGGACGTTGTTGCAGTGTGTACCCATCAGCAGTTTTTGTTTTGTGGACATGACAGAGTCACTTTAAAGAGCTAAAGAGGGAAAATCCTATATACCGTAAGAACACTTGTTATAGTGTATAGTCGCCAAACAACTTATGTTGTTCATCGTGGACTACTACTACTTTAGGCAACGGAATTATCACTTTCCACAAACTTCCTCAAAATACTTCTTTCAATAGCAGCTCTAATGACTTTTTATGCCCCGAAACCCGGGAACCAAGCTGACCACGTGGTGTAGTTTTGTTTTTTGATGGCGTTGGTGGTTGCGTTACCAGTTCCCCTTCTGTTAATTGTTTACACCAACCAGTTTAAACCTGGGGCTAAAAGTTGGGTTTGGTGTCCAAAACGACCCACCCAATCTCTCGTAAAAGCCAACGCAGAACACCAAAGGTCATACGTGAAGGATGCCGGATTGACTTGCCGGATTGACTGAGATTTACAGCATAGAATTCATTTTGGGAAACTGCTCGACAGACATGCAGATCTAGAAACTGTTGGTAATAGGCTAAAAAATTTCAACCCGGCCAAAATGCTTATTGCCCGAAGTCAACTTTGCTACCATCATGTCTACTGTCCAAACATCCAGAGAAGGCATCAAAGTATGGAAAATAAAAACATCTGAGCACGGCAAACATTAGGTTACATACTGGATAAACATTCAGATAAATTGGTTTTCTAATGATATACTTGAAAGAAGGCATCTCCTAGACTTTAGCTTATTCAACATCTCATATTAAAGAAACTAAAAAAATCAAAATAAAACAAAAGGCCTATCTATGCTTCATGATGGGACACATGGTCCAGCTAGGTAAGGCCGAGACCACTTAGTGTCGATATTCCATTCAGAGTATCATATGAAAAAGATACATATCAGTTGATATTTCCAACAAATTTCATACACATCGATGTCTACATGTAGTCTGAGGTACATGTAAATCTGTGTCATCAATCTAAGAAATTAGGAAGGGGACTTGTCAACACAGTGTGTCCTACTATGGAAAGATTGGCAGTTTAAAGATGACCTCACCTATATTACAACCTGACTGAGCAGGCATAGCTGGGGGTTATAATATAAGCAAGGTCCTATTTTTCCTACAGATAGCTTCTGTTTTTTTTTCTTCCCCATTGTCACTGGCCGTTAGAAACCGTTTGTTCTATGAGTGAAAATGAAGGGATTGCAACTTTCCAGTAAAGACCAACCTTCCACCAGAAATCAGAAGCCTAGTTCAGTATCCTGGAACGAAAAGCCACATCCAAAAACAAGCCGTCGTCGTTTTTTTTCTACACACGACATAACATATGACATAGCATGAAAATAGAGGTTTGAAGTCTAGAGTCAAAAGCCGTACAAAACCCCACTGTAAAAAGCTGTCATCCTGTAACATTAAAAAAAAAAGATTGGGTGCTGCAGCCTCAGTAGGAGGTTATTCTACCCCATTAAAGTCTACGGTCAGCCTGATTATCAACTCAAAGGTGACGCTTATTAGTGAGAAATGTCCGATTCCCCTCGTCTCTTTCGATGGCGCTTTGTCTTGACTTCCTCCTCTTCGACGAGTCTCCGCTTCCCGCGGGAATTCTGCAAGCGGGGATTTTGAGTTTCTCTGGCCATGTGTATGACGGCCTCGATGGTGTCCATTACCGTATCCTGACATTTCCCCTGCTGCTCCTGGGAGTGGAACCTTTGACCTCGTTTGTTGGGGAGGTCGACGCATTTTTCCAGGATGGGCATTTGGTCTCTGGAGTCATCATCGAACAAGATGGGCTGTTTCCTAGGGCGGCCTCGCTTTTTTTTCACAAAGTTATTGCCGGTCTTGGATTGTCTCTGTAACCTCTTGGCCTTTAGGATTTTGTTCACGTGATCCATGTTCTTTTTGGTGGACAGGAGTTTATCGTAGTTGCACATTTTCCTCACCTCAGACTGGATGGCTTCGATCTCACATCGTTTGAAGCGGTTTCGAAGTGAGGCGTTGGCTGTTAAAGATAAATATGAAAAGCCTGTTAACATATAAGCTAGAAATATACAAAGTTGTATAGCACAGTAAAGAAACTGGAGGTCAGCATAATGAAGCTTTACAGCATGTAGGCCCTCAGCGCAATGCTCAATACAAGGGCCACCACCATAATGAAGCTGCCTGAGGTGGTCGCCTCAGGCGGCATCTCATTGGGGAGGGAGCCACAGTGGCCTCGGTTGCTAAGAGCTCTTAGCGATCAGTGACGCTCTGTCTGACTTCCTGTCTAGCTCACTGACATCAGTCCCCAGAGAGCTGAGCGGGACAATCTGGCTGGCGTACCGTTGAGCTCCTGGCAACCAGTGATGTGAATGAGCTGGGATAGAGAGCTGCTGACAGTACGGCTCTAACAGAGTCGCCCATCCCACCGCATCTGTCCCTGACACCCCTCCACCCGGAAGACCAATATCAGCAAAGCTTCCGCCCAGGAGAAATACTATCAGCAGCACACTCCCCTCACCCTATCAGGCGGCATATACGGTAGGGGCGGCCCTGCTCAATACATATATTATTAGCATTGAGTTTGCATATTCTCCATGACTTCCCTGATTTGGGGGTGCTCCACTTATTACCCAGATGCCAAAAATATACTATGTGGGGATAAATTAGTATTAAACTCTCAATTTCTCAATAATGACTGCAGGCCCAGCAAAGTATTTCTTAAAATTTTTGCCCAAACACTTGGTGTTTCCAAACAGCTGCAACTCTCTCATCTCAGCTTCCCTAAACTTCCTGTCCAGTACATGATCCCCGTACACAGGGCCGGATTTACTCTCTCTGCTGCCCCAAGGCCAAGTTCCTCAATGCGCCGCCAACCCCCCACGGAGAATGGCAGACCTGCACGCTACACACAAGTGATCACCGAGATCACTTGTACAAAACAAGCTGCAGCTTCCCCCGCTGTACATTTCGCTCTGCTTCCCCAAAGCGCGGCTAAGTGTAGAAAACAACTACCCCGCCCGGAACTGCATTTTCCAGGCATCAGGAGATAGGAATTCCACCCCCTTGCTGCCCCGAGACCGGGCCTTGGTTGGGCTTGTGAATGTACAAGGGACAGTAAAAGAGAAAGGAAGGGAGATGAGGGGAGCAGGGTACTGGCTTGCCTTGCTGTGCCTGCATCTTTGTGGAGACAGACACAGCTTACTAACACACAAAGGTAGCTCCATAGGACCCTGCAAGGGAAAGTAGCCACCTTAAAACAAGATATCAGGGCCAATGCTAAGGGAACCCGGCTGATTCTGTAGGAAGCTAGACCTTTAAACATCAAGCAGCAGCATCCATTGTAAGTGATTTCATCAGCATTTGAAATAGCTTAAAAACCTTTTGACTTTAATATTTTAACATTCTACAAATATATTGCAGGTAAGTCATTGGCTTCCATCGTCCTTCCTTCAGGGAGGACTCTGATGTCCATGGTTATATGTACTATACTGAATGAATAAACTTAGGCAATCAATCAAGTGAACAGAGAGCAAGATATAAAGCTAACGTGGACGATGGATCAGATACGCATGCTATGTAACGTGAAAGACGCAAGCTGGCCAAACACTCGGTGTTATTTCTCGTTGGGCCACGAGAGTCTTCCTTGGCAGGCTGCTGTGTCCTGGCAGCAATCACTGTACGGCTGACAATATTGGCCCGGCTCTCTCAACAAAAATTGGAAAAATTAATTTTCGTCTAACGGAGAGGCGACAGCAGGGCCGCACACCCAAATCTCGAATAGTGTATGGCCAGCTATACAGATACTTATTACCTTCCACAGAGATCACAGCACTCCCCCTGACAATGCCTTCGTCTGCTTTTCTTTCCAGAAGGAGGAAGCCATCTTTGCTCAGACATCTTTCACGACCTGCTACAAAATGAGCAGAGTGTGATTACTGGGGAAGACTAAGGGTATGTTTCCTCCCGCCTGCAGGAGACTGATGGAATCATCTCAGCCTAGACAAAGTCCCCGGACTGGTGCTGAGGGATGGCATTGTAATGATAAAAGGAGAACTATGAGGTGAGTGCTTTTCACTCACCTCATAGTTCTAGCCGACCTGTGACAATGAGACTGTCACAGGTCGTCTCAGTAGATCGGGAGGTGAGCGAACACATACCGGCGTTCACTCACCTCTCGATCCTGTCACGGCTCTCTGCCGTGACAGGGGAGGGGCTGGATTCCCCCCTCCCCGCTCCGATCCTCCAGCGCTGACTGGCGGAACGGACGGGGGAGGGGGCGGGTACAGCTGGCTCTGCCTCTAGATAGGCAGAGCCAGCTGTCACTCACGCAGCTGGGCGGACTGAGACGCCGCAGTATACCGCGAGCTGTATACTGAGCTTAGGGTGACGGGAGGACGCTAGTTTGTGTCCTCCCGTTACCCTAAGGAGAACTATGGGGAAAAGACTTAACCCCATAGTTCTCCTTTAATGACTGTTATATTGTGACACTTACGAAATGTATTCATGCAGTAACATTTCTATAAGAGCTGAAATAAAAGACATTTTTCAAATGCAAATAGTGTAAGCCCCTAAACCTGACCCGGGATCAGCCTCGTGCAGTTCCAGGACAGCAGGTTTGGAGTCTGATAAGAAGAAGCAGCACATGGAGCCAATCACTTCATATGCTGACAAGAAGCATGCTGATACCAGGAGAGAGCACATTGACAGAGATGAACTTATCACTATGCGGCTTCTCTTTTCACTCTCCAGTCAAAGGCTCGGGCATCTCCAGGACATCCTGGGCTCAGAGGAAGTGGGTTGAATGACTTTGGCCAGACTGAGGACATCTAGTTGGTTTCTTATTTTAGCTTTAATGGATTATTCAATGTTATCTTCTTAGATTTTGCTGGAGTTCTGTTTTAAGGGCCCTTTCACACCACATCCAGATCATCTCCAGACCAGGCCAGATTGTTTCCAGACCCAAAATGCATCCTAATGTAACCCTATGCTATTTCTGTCCTCTGTTCACACCAGCGCAGTTCGTTCCAGATCAGACCAGACAAATACTACTTGTCTCATTTTGTCTGGCCTTGAATGCACTGGATCTGCGGGCAGGTTCACACCATTTTCCGGACCAGATCTGGACTGGAAAATGGTGTGAACCTGTCCTAAGGGCCCAGTCAAACCATAAAGAGTGCGTTCCAAAGTGTTCGGCCTCTGGAACGCACCCCGGCCGGCTCACTTTGTTTTGGGGAGGAAGGGGGCTTGGTGGTGCATTGAAGTCAGTGCCGGTGATCGCACTGCGGGTTGGGGGGCGTGGTTGCAGTGATCTGCCACACCTCCTTCCACCCCAGAAGGTAGGGGGTAGTTTTGTGAGTGATTGCAAAAAAGTAGTGCATGCAGCATTTTTGCAGATCGCACTTGACCAGAATGCAGGCGCTAACTGGCCACGCGTTCGGTGCCAGCAATCGCACTGTGGGCGTGGCTGCAGTGCAATTGACTTCAATGCACCACAAAACAAAGTGTGCTAGCCGGGTTGCGTTCCAGAGGTCAAACGCTCTTTATGGTGTGACTGGGCCCTAAGAGTAGTTTAAAGCAGCGGTCACCAACCAGTGGTCCATGAGAAAATGTTGTTGGTCCTCGGGCCCCTCTGATGCCGTGCAGGCTGGACCATCATTGAAGTGGCACCGAGGCTCCGGGGCTGCCTCTCACTGACTCAAGCAGCGGCTGTCACAAGGAATGCGCAGCTCTCAGTACAGTGCGGGCTCTGCTGGAGGCGGGGCATCTCGTCAGTACCCGGACTGAGCAGGCTGCGGGACATAGAAAAAGTGGGGAGCAGCCAGGTAATAGTGGCTCAGTGTGGGGGAAGGGGAGGCAACAGGGTGGTTGGGGGCAGTGCTGAAGCTAGGGGGGGCACGTGCCCCAGGGCCAGTGGCAGATTCGATAGGGGAGGAAACAATTAAGACTATTACTGGGCCGGGGCCGGCGGCACCGCTCCCTCCCTTCACCAGCACTGCCACTCCTGCAGGCACACCCGTATGTATGTATGTATGTATGTATGTATACTGTAGATATATTCTCATATTTTTTTGTTTCCTCATATATGAATATATTCTCATATGTGTGTGTATCTATATATACACACACAGACACACACGAATATATTCATATATGAGGAAACAAAAAATATGAGAATATATATTTTTTAAAAATCCATATTAGTGGTCCGCGGGATTTAAAATGATGAATTTAGTGGTCCATGAGGTCTGAAAGGTTGGCGACCGCTGGTTTAAAGAGAACCTGGCATAATAGAAATCTGAATCTCACTGCACAATACACGCTATACTGTTCATGCAACCAACATTCAGGAAATTGTTTGGCGGTCGGCTTTTCCAAGCGCCATCTCCTGCCTCCAGGGATGTTTAGCTGCGTTCTTTCTTCATATGTTGAGATTATACAACGTGCATCATAACAACAGCGAGCCATCTTATGTAAACACGCAATGCATCCAGAGATCTCCTCATCGCTTAAAACACGACTTATATTTTCCATATGTCGGCTCATGGGCCTACGTTTATACAGCAAGGAGGGCACTTAGACCGACGTGCCTGTTTAAATATTAAAGCCCGGTTTTAATTACTCAGAACTCATTATGCGGTTTATCGGTTTAGTTTTGCCGCAGGGCGATTTGAGAAAAGATTTGATTTTTTTTTTTAGACAACATCTGGGCCCCCATCTTAGCCGTCTTCCCGGAGAAGACGTTTTCAAAGAGGTCCTCATTAATTACAGGAAACTCACGGTGCAGACCAGTTTTTCTTTTTTTGTGTGCATATCCCTCCAAATGATCTCCACATCTGGACGGCAGATATCCCGTTATTTCATGCGTGCGTCATAAAGGGACGTGTGGAGCCTGTAGCCAACACGGGTATTGCAAAGCCAAAGTTCAACAACTGCTGGGATGTTCTTTATTTTGTTTCCATTGACATTGCTGTTCTTTTTAGGTTTCTTCACTTTGCTGTGTCTGGCAGGTTTAATATTACAGGTTGCCATGAATAACCAGGACAGAACAAACCGGGCACTGAAATCAACCAAACCTGGCTGCAACTGACAGCCATGCACAGTGCAGCTCGTCAGAAAAATGCAAGGAAACGGAAAAGGGCCTTACCCAAACTGTTGCCATAAGATTGGAAGCCCACAATTGTCTAAAAAGTATTTGTATACTACAACATAAAGAGTACCCTTCACTGGAAACCCCTGTACTGAATCATTTAAAGAGGTGTCCACATCCCTTTGGCCATATTATTATTATTATACAGGATTTATATAGCGCCAACAGTTTGCGTAGCCCTTTACAATATAAGGAAGACATTAGAATCACAATGCAATTCAAGACAAGATGGTAAGGAGGGCCCTGCCCCTGAGGGCTTACAATCTAAAAGGGAAGGGCAAGCGATACATGAGGAGGTAGCTGTGAGGAGATTAATTGTTTGCGAACGTGATGCTTGAGTGGTTAGTTTGAGGTGGGATAGGCCTCCCTGAAGAGATGAGTCTTAAGGGATCATCTAAAGGCAGTCAGAGTGGGAGATAGACGGACAGGTTGGGATAAAGAGTTGCAGAGGATGGGAGAGATTCTAGAGAAGTCCTGGAGGTGAGTATGGGAGGAGTTGACGAGGGAGCTGGAAAGCAGGAGGTCTTTGGAAGAGCGGAGGGGACAGTTAGGGTGATACTTTGAGACAAGGATTGAGATAGCCTGGGGCAGAGTGGTGGATGGCTCTGTAAGTGGTTGGTAATATTTAGAATTTTATCCCTTGGGCTATTGGAAGCCAGTGGAGGGATTGGCAGTGGTTGATTGCCACCAACCTAGGCAATCTAAACAAAAAAAGGGTAAATCCTCTTCTACCACACAGAGTACTAACCTGATTTGTTGGATGATGAGAAGAAGGATAGGAGAGGGTTTGGAGGCACGGAGGCAGATTCGGCTGCTGGCTTCCTTTTGGTCAAGTTGTTGGAAGATGTAGTATCATTTCTGTTATGCTGAGAAATCTGGTCGGCTTTCTGGTGAGCACTTGATAAACCTGCACGGGAAGAGGCAGAACATTTTTAGGATATATTGATACTCACAAACAACAGTTGTGTGAAAAAGAAAGTACACCCTCATTGAATTCTACATTTTTACGTATCAAGACATCACACAAATCATCTGGTCCTTAGCAGGTCATAGATTTAGGTAAATAGTATTTGCCGAAATCTATGACCTGCTAAGGACCAGATGATTTTACTAAAATCATAATTACTAAATCATATTTACTAAATATAACCTCAGATGAACACCACATGACATATTATACTGAGTCGTTATTTATTTTACAAACAAAGCCAAAATGGAGAAGACGTGATGGAAAAACTAAGTACACCCCTACTGCTTCCATAGAACAGGCTATGTTGCAGCCAGGTGTTGCTAATCAATTGCCCTTGATTAATTGATCATCAGGAAGTGTGACCACCTCTATGAAAGCCGAAGTTGTAACAGTTTGCTGGTCTGGAGCATTCAGGTGTGTGTTAACACAGCGCCAAGGAGGCATTAAGCAGTCCATACACCTTACAACCATCGCACGACTTTCGTTGTGCGATGGTTGTAAGGTGATTAAAATTTCGTACGATCTGCCCATCTTGGACAGGCTGAGGGGAGGGCTTCTGATGATTGCAGTGCTGAGAGGGCAGTGTACGCTTGCTCCCATACATCTGCCGATTATTGTACGATTTTCGGCAGGTTTTCCAGCGTGCTCGGAAGACGAAAGTTGTGAGACCTTACAATAGAAGCGGTCGCATCCTGCCCATACACCTGCCGATTATCGTACGATCGCGGGATCACCCGCGATTATCGTACGATAATGGGCAGGTGTATGGGCACCTTAACATCAACAATGATCTTACAGAAGCAAAGAGGGTGTACTTTCTTTTTCACACAACTGTACATAAAGATAAAAATTCTGTTATACTTTCATGCAAGCAACTCTAATTTTAGTTATGGTTCCTCGTATAATGAGACTTAGTTTTGCTCAAGCACCATACTTGCTACTGTATACATACTACTACAACTATAAAGGCCAATACACTTTAAAACAAAGTGCATGTGTCCTTTTGTCCCCTTCCTCTGACCCAAGCCAACCTAAACTCCCTTTTCCACAGATGCACACTTACCTTGATGGAATGGAGGCAGTTCTGCTGGCTGTTTACATCCAGCACTGCAAGTCTTCGCTGTTCTGGTTGTGCCTGTGCATCAGGGCCCCATAGACTTCTATAGGGCTGTGTCCCGAGGCCGGAGATGGTGCTATAGAAGTCTATGGTCCTGGTACCGCCAGGGCAGTGACGTAAGCCAACAGCAGAACCACA